TCATGTACATAAATAAATACTGTAGGAATTTATTCATGTACATAAATAAATACTGTAGGAATTTATTCATGTACATAAATAAATACTGTAGGAATCTGAGCACCACGTCACAACAGAATCTTCCACATTCGTCCATTTCACCCTTTTAAAAGGTAAATATAAATAATAAAGCAAGGTTTCACAATGTATCACATCATACATATAAACACAAACAAAACACTGTTTGTGGCAGTTTTTGTAGATTATTGTAGAACAGCTGTACAAACTTACAAACAAAACTCCCAAATTGTGTCTAAAACAACCACCTTTTCTTGTCATCATTACTTTTTTTTTCTAACAAGATTAAGTAAAAGTGCTCAATGAGAGACTCTTTGGGTAAATGCAAGATTATTTTTGAAAGAGCAAACGTACCTTGACTCTGATTTCTTCCACCACATTGAGCTCCTCCAGGGACAGAGGGTGCTCAGGGTCGTTGATGGACCGGATTAGATGTAAAAACAAGTCAAAGAATTTACAACCAAATAAATAAAATGATTTGAAAGAATTTCGAAACATTTATAGTTACAGTTTACAGAGTTGTTTTGCTTTTCTCACCGTATTCATTGTTTGCTTACAAAGAGTCAGACTTGTACATTTTTATCAGGTACTCTGAAGAAAAGCTTCTGCAGGTTTTAAAAAGTTTGTTGTTGATATCATGTCAGGTGCTTAATTTCAGTCTATTCTCTGTACCTGACCATTTTCACAAGGTTATTTTCAGTTTATGTCACTAAAATTTGGCTAATGAAACATTTAAGCAAAGGACACTTGGTTATAAATGACCTGTTGCAAAAGGACATGTTTATATTTCTTTGCTTAAACGGATGAAAACTACTGTCTGCCAAGCTTAACCCGCACAGTTCTGCAAAAATAGATATAATATATAATACAATACTTTATTTCAATAATTTATTTATGCAGAGACATTACCTTGCGATTGCAAGTTCATTATAAACATATAAAAAACACTCTCTCGGGTGTAAAACCAACGTGAACAAGAGGATATCGAATATTTCTCGGTCGTCGATTGGGTCGTGAACGTCTTCGTCCTCCTCGGAGGCAGTCAGCAGCCTCTCCACGGAGCGCTGGAAGATCACAGGGTTAGCATTCTCCAGCTGAGCTCCTCCAGACATCTTAGACTGGATTTTAGTCCAAGGCAGGCAGAAAAATGTTTATTGTTTTTTTTTTTTTTTTTCTCCAGAAGCCCACTTCCTGGATTGACGTACGGGAAGCGGAAGTGGCCAAAACAACGACTTCTTCTCATGTTTTTTTTGGCGGTTGACAAAAATCTTTTGGTTTGCATTAGCGCCACCTACTGGTTTAGAAAGGAAATATTTCTAAACTGTTCTTATTTGTTTTATCTGTTTTTATTTATGTGTGCAAAAACTATACATTCAAACTGTATTAATCATTATTTTGGTCTTATAATAATTTGTATTGATTTGTTCTTTAAATGTTTTTGTAGAGTGTCTGTTATGTTTATTTTTTCTTTATTCCATTGAAACTCTTTCCACATAATTTCACTCTTCTTATATTTATGGCATTCTAATATAATGTGTTCCATTGTTTCATCCTTTCCACTGTGTAATTTCCCTTTATCATGCTTTCTTTAAGTGAATTGTTGAGTCCTGTGTGTCCAAACCTTAACCTTATTATTAATCTTTCATCTTTCCTGTTTCTTTGCCCCCTTCTCATTTCTTCTACTGTCTTTTTGAATTATATGAAACCATCTTCCCTTTCTTACTTCACCCCACCTTTTTTGCCATTCTTTCTTCCGCTTTTGTTTGACGATACTCTTTGCCTCTGCTTTGCTTGTGTGTATTGTGAAATTAATGGGATTGTCAGTTGCTTTCTTTGCCATTTCATCTGTCATCTCGTTTCCCTCTACTCCAATATGTGGTGTATCCATACAAAAACCAGATGTACCAGCAAACTTTGGGGCAGATGGAAAATTGTTATTGTCTGCCTGACTTTTCTGTTCCCAAAACAACTGATTACAGATTTGGCTCTCCTACATGGCCTTGAAGAGCTGTGGACTAAATTCTTCCTGGTTGGGTTACGTCGACTGAACACCCCCCCCCCCCCTTCCCCAATCACAGTGTTGATATAATATGATGTTTTTGTTTTTTTCCTCATCTGTCCTTGTGTGGTTTTTAGTTTTTCTGTTAAGGGTTGTGCCTCCCCATAATCTCTTCATGAAGATGATCCTTGCTCTGTGCAGGGTCAGTGGCAGCATGACCCAGAGTACCTGTTCTCCCATGTTTGTTATGTTCTGTCTTCTTCTGAATGGGTGTTCTGAACTGTAATTTCATTGTGATCTGTACAATGACAATAAAGGTCTCTCTCTATAAAACTATAGTAATAACAGAGACAATATGTTAATAATAATGACAATAGAAAAAAACCTGTTAATAATAACAATACAGATAACATGGTAACAACCAGACACCATATAGTGTCAGTGTATATGACACATAAATACATACATATGCAAAGCATCAATGCAGCAGAACTCAGAAGTCACCAGAACGGATTTACTGTTGTGAGTGGGATTCAATCGTTGTGGCTATTGGATAACCCTTCATCGGAGCTAAAAGAAAAACAACTCAAAAAACTGAAGCTCCTATGTAGAACAGTTTTTTGAGTTATAAGCATTTTTGTATGTCCAGACACCCGTTTTTAAGATAAAGCCCCCTCCTCAAATAGGGGGTCTATCATTTAGAAAAAAAAAACATTTGCTGGCGCAGTGTAGGTTGGACACATCTACGATTCTTCTCAAATTTCACGCTGCAGCTGTTTCTGTGCTACACTGTAAAAAATGAAATGTTGGATTTACTTAACCATGTTATGTTACCTGGTTCCACTTAACTGAGTTGAGTAAATTCAAAGCAATATACCAGTTTTTTAGCCAAAGAACATGAGTATGTTGCTTTGAATTTACTTAACTCAGTTAATGGAACCACGTAACATAACATGGTTAAGTAAATCCAACATTTCATTTTTAGAGTGTATGTTTGACTATTGTACTATTATTGACGATTATTGTTGCCCTCAGGAAAGTGCTACAGGTGCATCAGAACAAGAACAAACAGATTCAAGAACAGAGTTTTCCCGAAAGATGTCACCTTACTGAACTCTTGCATAAATGGACTCTTGGTTTACAATCAACGAGGAACTCAACTACTGTGAAATAAATACATGTGTGGGACATGTCACTTTATTTTGTAATGATCACCTGCAATACCAGCATAATCCATAAACCTCAATATATGAAATGTGCAATAATGTCATTTAACTTTCTTCTAATTTAGTTTCACATTTACAACCAACATTCATTGTGCTTTTTAATGTGCTTTTTTATTGTTTTTCTATTGTTGTGGATATGTAGGTATATGTATACATGCTGAAATATAAGCATATTTTAGCTAATTTTATCCTGTTACTCTTTATTCTCTTCTTTTTCGTTTAATGTGTATTTGTGTATTTCTATTTATGTGTATTTGCACTACTGTGGGAGTGGCTCTAATCTCGTTCTGCACACGTGTAATGACAATAAAGACATTCTATATTCTATTCTATTCTATTCTATTCTATTCTATTCTATTCTATTCTATTCTATTCTTCTACTAAATAGAAAGAAGTTGTACAGTAACAATATGACCCCTGCTTCACATGCAGGGGATAACATGTTAATAATATTAGAGATATCATAGAATAATAAAATAAATAACATGTTAATAATACAACAGAGATAACATGTTAATATAAAAAACAGGGAACATGGTAATAACAGAGATAACATGTTAATAATATTCAAAGAGATAATATTTGATGGAATTAATTGATTGATGTATTAATTGATTGATGGGACATGGGAGAACAGGTGCCCCCTATGACACACAGTAGCGCCTACAATTTACTATTACCAGCTATTTGTAACTTTCAGTTTGTCCTGTAGATGGCAAATGCTTCTCAATTTAGCTGAACACAGTGTGTGAAATCTTATTGTCGTTTAAACTGCAGATTTTATTTTGTACACATAATTCCTGATGCAATATCTTATATGGGTCCCATGTCCTTTTAAACACATTGTAAAATTAGATTAAGGCAGTTCAAAGGAGACTTCCTCTCCCAGCCTTAAAATACAGCCTCTTGCTATGGTCAAACAAGCCTTGCTGGACCCAACACTTATTTCACCAATTGAATTAATGAACAGCCTTTTTGGCAAATTTGAACTTGAGATTTTCTGACAACGTTCAGACATTAATAATACAGTTGTAACAATTTTATCCACTTACCCTTACCCCCAAAATGTTGTACCATATTTTGAACTGTTTCTGTTTAACAGGTCTGAACCAAAAAGCAACTCAAGAAACACTGTTTATGAACGAGAACTGACTGCAATCTGGCCCACAATTAATTTCTTCATAGGTTGTTTATTTCATCTCAACAGGATCCTAATGAGCTGCTGAAGTCAACAGAACTGTGGAAGACTGGTTGATGGAAAAAAAAGTGGTGTGATATGTTCACCTCTTGGAAAAATAAAGTGTAGATAATGAGGGCACATATGGCTGCATAAACCTGTCTGACATGCTATGAAATAAAAAAAGGCTCTTGTAAGGGCAGAAACTGAGAGAAAAGGCACATTTTTTAATTGGGATGTTACAAACTGCTGGTCTTCAGGTTCACAGTTTCATTCTAGAGAATATATACGTAGGTAATCATCAAAAATGTCGCAATACTAAAAGTGACAGGTACCACGCCCCTTAGGGCGGGACATCCGTCATGTCCATATATGGTCAACTTCCGGTGACTTCCTTCCTCTTTTGATTTACCGTAACTATCCTCCCTAGGTCTTCCAGTAACCCTACCCCCCCCCNTTCAGTATGTTCAAGCTAAAATATCAAGAAGCATCTCAGTCCTCAGTAAAGCTAGATTTTTTTCCAACTAATGATTTTTGACAAGTGCAATGAAGATAATCTGAGGTAAACTTAAAATGTGTGTCTCAATGCTGTATATGGGATTGTATAAATGAGTATGACTGTGTACTCTATGTGGACTAATTAGGTTATATTGGAGTGGTGGTCGGATCTCCTGCATTTTCATTTTTATGTATTTAATTACTTTTATTTCTTTTGTTTTTTTATTATGTTAATTTTTATTGTTATTATTAGTTGTTTTTTTTAATTTTGGTCAATCATCCATCCATCCATTTTCTGTACACACTTATTCCTTTCAGGGTCACGTGGGTCACCCAGCAGTCACAGTGTGAGGGGTGGGGTACACCCTGGACAGGTTGCAAGGCCATCACAGGGACACACATAGAGACAAACAATCATTCACTCTCTCACTTGGGACAAGTTATATCAGTTAACCTAACAGTCATGTTTTTGGTCTGTGGGAGGAAGCCAGAGTGCCCAGAGAGAACCCATACATGCACAGAGAGAATATGCTAACTCTACCCAGAAAGGTCACCGGGCTGGGATTTGAACCGGTGACATTCTTGCTGAGAGGCATCAGCTCTAACTGAGCCACCGTGCCGCCCATAAATCAATCAATCAATAAATCAATCAATCAAAAACAGTTTGACTAATAAAACTAGCATTTTAAATTTCATTCTTTCATAAAAATCACAGCATCATAAAAAACATCTGAGAAAAGATGATTAAGTAAAGTAAGTGGGCTAACAAATCATGCAACATCTGTGTTAAAAATGTTGGCAAGTGACAGCAATCTGTAATCCTTCAATGAAGGCTACTTTTATAAATGTACCATAGGTCTTTTATTTAAAATAAATCAAACAAAAAAAAAAACTCCACAAGCTGAGGTGATTTTTTTTTTTACGTTTACTCTATCCTCTTTGGATTGGCCCCCTCAGGGGGTCATTTCTGTCATCTTGCCAATGACGCTCTGGCGTCTTTGCATTAGAGCAGAATGCAATTAATTATTTATGCACATAATCTACTGCTGTTTCGCTTATTTTTCGGCATTTCTGTCTAAATTATACAATCAATGAAGTGAGGCGATGACACAATTCTTTCACAGAACACACAACTAAAACTATAAACTTCCACATTCCAGGTTTTTGCTAATCTACTCTCTTCCCACTTTCAGTATTTTGTCAACTGAGTGCTAAACGTTTTCATCTGTTTGGAGGGAGAGCTCTTCACCAGGCTGRATGTTTTAATCATTCCCTACTTTTYTGTTTAT